AATGAGATTAAGCTTCAACCAGCTATTAAGAGCTTGGATGTATTGTTTTTGATGAGTCACGAGATTTTCGAAGTGAGAATGCCATTCTCGGAGAACGTTCCAAAGTTGGACAGTGCGGGCATGGTGGTGCTTGGTTGTTTCCATTGGAGTATGGCCAATGTCGAGGGACTTTAGGTCTGTAACAATCTTCAGCTGGCTGTCGTGATGTGTGCACATGTTCTCCCACATACTTGCCATCCTGAGTTGCAGATGTGATTAATATATTTCCAGTGGAAACCTTTTCTCAGTAATACAACAAGCATATGGTCACATCAATTAAGGTGGAAGCAAATAACTTAGATGAAAAATCACGTACAATAATTGTGTGCGAGCACATAACCTTACAAAAGAGGATGGCAAAATTCAACACATAACATTACAGAAACGGAAATCATCCATCAGTTCAATTTTCCGCAATAGAGATGGTACTTTCGTAGAACATTAAATGTTGCTAGTCTATTTATGACGAAACGCTCTTGATGCATAACCAAAATGATTTTCAGACAGAAACGATAATCTGATCAATCAAGAAGACACTAGGGGCAACAAGAACGAAGTAAATAAGCAACGAGATATCTCAATGCACAAACTTACCCATCAGCTAGAGAAACAAGCTTAGGGTACAGCTGCTCATCCCGTAATTGATTTACTTCCGAAACTGTAGAATCCATGGACTGCATGTCAACAATGTATCTTGTATGCAAATGACTTACAGCTGCTTTTGTTTTTTCTAAGGTTTCAGCACTAGCGCTGCGTTTCTTCTGCTTATTCAGCAGAGCAACCTTTCTCTGATACTCAACCTTCATAAGCTCCCCTTGCTATCAACATGAAGTAAGATAAAAAAACGTTTCAGCGTAAGAGAATAAACATATAGGAAGCCGTACATTTTTCTGTTATCAATTATCCAATTAGAAAGAGGACCGCCACAACGAACAGTGTACATGATGCAAAAGATTAAAATGAAACAAACTAATGCAGTATACCTTCACTTCATCATAAAGTTTCTTTTCCCATGCCAACATCTTATCCAAAACAGTGGCATGAGTTTCATAATCTTCTGAGTTTTCATCCTTCCCGTCACCATTTGGTATGCCTCTGAACGACCTATTCCATGTAATAACACGCATGACCCTTGCAGAGTGATCAATGTGTCCTGCATAACATCACGAGAATTAGTACCACATCCAACAAATGATTCAGCAGATCTCTCTCACAAATAGAATTTTAAGAAAAGCCCAAAAGATGTTCTTGGTACAACAGCCATTCAAATTCTGGCCTCATAAGCTAGTTCAACAATTTTCAAGTGCCGGAACAGGAAGATTCAAAGCATCAACCTTTAAACAAAAAAGGACAAATGCCGACAACTAAAGCTTTTTGGTTGACATCAACCTTTCAGAAAGTGTAAACATCTTTGGTTGACATCAGATTACCAAAAGGTAGTTTGAATACCAAAGATTTTTTATTTTGATATTTAAATGCTAAAGCCCAAGCTTTTGAGCAAAAAAAAAAAAAGGTCTCTTTCAAACTTTTAAGAGCAACATAACCATTGCATCACACCTAAGAAACAGAACAATACAAGCACATCATACGAAGAACTTGATCTTAAAGCAAATACAAAGACTCGTATACCTCGATTATCTGCGAAATTCGAGTGATAATGCAACCGAGTGGCCTCGAGCATCTTGGAAACCTCCTGAGCACTCTCGGAGGCCTTCAAGAAATGATCATCAATCTTATTCAATATGTCCATCAAAGTCACACCAGGAATCACATTAGCTACTCTCCTACTGAACTCCGGTGGTGCAGTCTTCGAATGCTCAATTGCCACCTTCACCGGAGTCTCCTCTTCCGGCTTCTCCTCAATATCCTCCACTTTTTCCGGAGTCTTAGGTTCAACCCCATCATCCACATCACCGCCGCCGCCGCCACCAATCCCCATATTCTCATCTTCACCAAATTCCTCAGCTTCTTCATTCTCACTCAAAGAAGGTCCCGGCATGTTATCCACCATAAAGAAATAGTCCCAAGCCATGCCCTTCGACTCCGGCATTGGCGGCACCGCCTTCATCTCCGGCGTCCTCGGCGGCGGCGACGACGTCGTCTCCGAAGCCCCATTTCTCGATCTCCTCTGAAATCCTTTATGGCTCTCATCCTCACCATGTTCATGGTCTTCTTCTTCTTCCTCATCCTCCTCGGCAATGGCCAGCCCAACTCTCCGCCCCCCCATTTTTCGAGCCTCAGCGCTCATCGCCGGCATGCTGATGGCCCGCTTGATCGGACTCGGAGTAAAAGTGGGCAAAGGCGGCGGAGGCGGCGGAAGGTTCAAATTCTCCAAATGGGGCGGCGGCTCAGATGCAGGGTCCATCGGCCGGTGTTGGCAGTGAAGAATTTCCATCTCTTGGGTCACTTGGGTTTCTCCATGGCCATAATCACTCAACGCAGCGCCGGCGTTCTTCAAGGACACGGCATAGCCGGAATGACCGGAAGCGAAGGCGTTCCGGGCCACCACCGCCTCTTTCATTAGGTTTCTCCGTTCCTTACATCGCGACACAGATTCCTCGTTGTCGATTCTCGATTGGGCGCACCCCATTCTTTTGTGGGTGTCTTGAGAAAAATACGACTAAAAAATGCTCAAAGTTTTGGACTTTTTGACATTTAAGAGCAAAAGGTTGGAAAAAATACGAGAAACAACATGTGGGCTTTGCGTTTGGAGCTTCTGGGTACGGCTAAGACGGCGCCGCTTCCATGGATACCGCAGAGTGAAGCTTGTTGGAGCTGGGTTTCGGGAGCTCTGGTAGATCAGAGATATTTGAGGCGAAGACGGGCTTGTTTCGGGTTTTCACTTTTGAGAGAGAAAGTGTTCCAATGGACGAGGAGGGCAACGAAATGAAATGAAAAGAGAGTGAGTGCTACCAAAACTGGTACAGAGTGAGCAGAGAGAGAGAGAGAGAGAGGGAGAGGAGGGAGAGAGAAGACGGAACGGAGGAATTAACGTCGGAGATGGATTGTCTGCCTTCCCTCTCCATACATTCTTTATACTTTTCTATTTTATACGATTACGATTAAATCACGTTAATATTTAATTTTTATTTTATTATTTTTATAAAAAAAATAATATATAATATTAACGTGACTTAAGACATAAAAAGGGTATGGGAAAGGGAGTGTAGACAGTCCATCTCCATTAACGTCTACACGAGGTGTCCGTAGTTATGATTTTAAAAACTAACGGTCACACATTTTGAGGCAGTTGATTCGACGTCGTACTTGTTGATAAGTGAGTTAAGTGGTAAACAGATTATTACCTACCTAATTACTTACTTCATGTAAAAAATAAATTAAAAATTACTTGGTGTGAATGGAATAAACGTTGACCGGTGAATTAGGTAAAAGGTGGTATTACTGGCCTCCTCCAACAAAAAACTTTTGAGTTTGTACTCATGTCATGCGCCTAATGAGTTTGTACTCATACATTGTGTTCAAATGTTTTCAGTTTTTCACAGTTTTGCAATTCGGCACCTCTATCCACTTAATGCACAAGTCCCTTTTAAAGGGAATCCTCATCATTTTTTTAACGAAAATGGTACACACTCACACGAGTTTGAAAGCAAATAGAAGAAATGACTAAGCTTTTTAAGGGAAAAGAGCCTCATAAACACGTGTGTGTTACAAGTAGTGGCGAAACTAAAAGGCTAAATGTGAAATGTCGTCTCCAGATATCATTATTAAAATTCGTATTTTCAGGAAAGTACTATTATTAACGTTAATTTTAGAATTTTAGTTGGCAAGTTACGAAGTTCAATTTTTTGTAATTAATCATTAAAAATCTGTAAACCTTTCAAGGTTACTCTTAGTATTTTCGAATAGAGCTCAACTCCACATGTGTAGGTAAATCCGTTTGCAAAACGAAGTTGTAACGAAAGAGAAATAAGTGAGCAAAGATAGGGACAAATTGGACGTTCAGTATATAGCTAGGAGCTCCAACAAACCTGGAGCAAACTTACCATTTCTAGAAAGACCAACCCGATGACTTGGTTACCTGAGTACCGACCCAGTTTTCTGTAGATTTTCTAGGTGAATTTTATGGCAAATACTATCTCAGCAACCACCCCATTCAACTCATCTTAGTCTCCTGAACAAGAACCACCCAATCCTTGCCCCATTTGATCACCGTTCACGGCGGGGAGAAGCTTGACTTTCCCGAGCTCCCTGACGGCAAACTCGCCGTCTCCGTTCATTTAAGCATTTCGCTTAACGTGCAAGTCCAAAGGGGTAGATTCCTCGCTCTTCATAGGGATTTCCGACAACGACAGGTGCAGCCACACCTCCTTGTCCTGCTGTGGCTTCGCCACTGGTTGCAAGTCTTTTGCAACACAATGGTCAAGAACATGTTGTGTTGTACTCAATATCCAGAGTCAATTTCTCCCTTCCACTATCGCTTGTATAAAGAATATACGTTTATCGGACAAGCCCTAACCAGAGTGCTAAATTGTAAAATCGTAAATTTTGAATTGCGCAAAAGTAGAAAAAATTCAGGTGTTATTAATCTAAAATTTTAAATATATTTTTGCCATGGAACAGCGAAAGTAGACCAACTTTTTTCGTGTTTCAACTGTTCAACGCCTTGTTGCTTTGGCTGGGAGGATGTCAAATCCAATAGAAAAGTATCATAAATTAAATCAAAAGGCAAGGCTTGATTTATTCCTTCACTGTAATTCCCTATTTAATTTTTATAAATACCAAAATCAACAACAAAACCGCATGGCAAAATGGCAATGCATAAACCTATCTCGTGATCATGTCTTTTAACTTTCTCACATGATGTAACGTGATTAATTTAGTACAGATATTTGTTATCCCCTTATATGTAAGTTCCTTCTCCCATAGAGTGATTTTGACTAGTTACCCCACCAAGAGAAACTTTTCAATGGTAAATAGTGAACTAGAAAGAGCCGATGAGAATTTTGGCCTGTTAATTTCGACTGAGATGAAAAAAACTTGTTTAACCTAAATCATAACTGTACACACACTGAACACGGCCTGTTAATTTCGACTAAGATGAAAAAACAATTGTTTACCTAAATCATAACTGTACAAATGGCCATTCACCTATCTGAAGATGATACTACGGAATTTACATTTTTCTTCGGTGATGGAGCTCATATGAAGCATATCATCCAGTTATTTCCTACTGGCAAAGACTCGGGTGAGATTCACAACACCTGGAAACCAGTCCTGAACAAAATACTTGTACCCGCGCAACCATGAAATTGCCCAATCCCTGAATTACGGCCCAGCCATATAAGTACTTCCATGATAAAACTGGGGAAAGAAAAAAGGATTGTGTTAATAGACTAAACTGAGAGAGAGAGAGAGAGAGTAGACTAAACAGAATATGCAAATACATGATTTGAGTTTCTCCTACTCAAGGAAAGGACTACGAACGATGCAAGTATTTAACCGAAACTTTATGTGCTAGATCGCACACACTTTGCAAAACACTGTACAGAGGAACAGATACACATCATATGCTGGCCCATAGCCCTTAAAACCTTTGCATTGAACTTTCATGAATCACTTCCACACAAGTATATAAAAAAAAATATGAAACTAGATCATTCTTGACAAATTCACAAAGCTCCAAAAGAGGAGAAGAGCTTCATTTGAATCACAGTACATAGAGCTGACGTAACGATCATTGATGGCCGAAAGAATTCAAGGAGCAACGGAAGTTAATTAAGTAACTCAATGAGGAAGTAGAGATCTTTTTTTTGCTATAAAACTTACCAATGGGAGCAAGTTCACCCAGCCACAACGCTTATTTCGCCTTAAGTGCATCTTTGCGTTTAAGTTTAGCTTTGAGTTGTCTCAACTCCTTTCCTTGTTGCTAAAACCAAAGTTTTGAAAAGCAAAAACAAAATCATTTAAGATAGGTTGACAAAGGAAATAACACGAAGAAACATTAATAGCATTATCCATCATAATACAATAAATTGAAAATGAGATTTAATATCTCAAAGACCTTATACAAGTTCTTCCAAAAAGGATCTGATCCTTCTTGTTGTAGACACCATTCCATGGTCATATCGTATTCAATAATGTTGGGTTGGGAACAATGTGAAGTTGATATGGCTTCTTTCTGCTCTGGATACGAAAATAAAATATAAAAATATGTAGATGAGAAGAAAATTTAAACAGAAACAAACAATAACAACTTTATGCGCCTGTATTTCTCTTATACGTATCAATGCTTGTAAGGAGCCTTGTTGCCTTGTTGGTGCGTGTGTGCCATTTCCCGTGCATTTTGGTGCCGAAGTTTCTCGATGGTTAAATGACCAAAAAAAGGTAGGTTCTAAGTTATTTAATGGGGAGTGGAACAGATAAACAAGGAGAAATAAAACAAGATATACGAGAGTAAATTGCAAAATGATGTACGCTATAGAGCCTGTGCTAGAATATCATCCAACTACAAACCTTCCATTTGACAACAATAGGCAGCCCTCATCCAATTCTCTAACAATCTTTTGTGCTGCTTCACTAGTTTTGAGAATCACAAGAGCTTGTCCCACAACATGAACAAACAAAAGATTTACAATCATACTGTAAGCGTAATTTCATCCATGTTGTGTTTACAAATAAATGATATCATCTGAAAGCAAGATTTAGTCAATTTTTCCCAGAAAATAGATAAGAGAATAAAAATAAGTCATTTAAATACGTTATCTATACCATAGTGAGGACTAGAATTTGCGGTCCGCTGAATCATCTTAGCCGTGCAGCTTTCCTTAATACCATGCCATACTATTACCTGAAATGTAATACATAAGATCAAATTAGATGTTGCTGTAAAGTAGAAAAACCAACATATAAGTGGCAGCCTAGAGTTGAATACACTACATTGGTACATTTAGTTCAAAATCTGTGCACCAAGTGACAACAGCATATGCAACTAAAGCTCCAATGCGATTATTACCTCCACTTGCGCTGAAGTGTATGCTGGATCCAAATTCTGGAGCAGAACAAGAGTGCCTTGCTCATGTGCAGTCTGCATTCTATCTTCCCAAGGCTGACATTGATAAAAGATAATTCATCAGTCCAACATGGCCCTCACAACTGCCCACATTAAAACATCCACTAAATGCCCATTTAAAGGCACTTTTCTTTTAATTTTTGATGAAAGTAATTACCAGTTGAGGTCAAATTGAGAACACATGATTCTGTTTCTCTGCCCCTTGGCAATAGAGTGGAAGACAGTTTCTAGGCCTTAGAGCATCTTCAAAGGAGATTTCAAATATAATATGTCAAAATTTTATTTTATGGTTGATGTGGCAAATTGAATACAAGTGCTAAATTCTCTTTTTTTCCAATGGATGTGTCAAATATTTATTTTATTATTTTATTGGGCCTAGAGTTACATTAACTATTAAACATAATAAAAATTAATTGTAGTTTTTCTTCTATTGGTTGTTAATGGGACCCATGTATTAAAAATTTTAATTAAATATATTTGACTCATTTGTTTGCTGTCAAAAAAGGCAGCTAGAAAGTAAAGAGTCAAATGACTCACATGCCACATCATATATGGCATATCCATTGGAAAACACCTAAATGTCTTTTAATCATATTTGACATATTTGACATCTCATTTGAAGATGGTCTTACAGGTGCAAGCCAGTAGAATCAAATTCAACAATAAAACAAAAATTTGAGATTCACAAGCAAATTTAACAATTGCACCCAAGAATAGAAGTGAAAATGAACAACTCACAAATCTCTTGAACCATGTTCTTCTATCCTGCAAGAAAGAAGACGAGAAACTGTACGAACTAAATCCAAGGTTAACCTTTTTGGGATCTTTATGTTATCATTTTGGAAGAACTAGGCATTAGTAACACAAAAGAACTAACACCAAACCTCACTACCAAATCCCTCACCCAAAACACTACAAATGTTAGGTAAAACCAACTTCTATTGAGATGTGTTATAATGTGAAACAAAAGAGATTACACAGTTCATTTGAGGAAAAAGAGAATAAAATGCCTTCTACAGTTGTATTGGGGATTGATTAATTAACTGACGGTGTGCTACTACATATCTATATGTATCTATATATGTGAGAATGGTGTGTATAGTGTTGCAACAAGCTGTTGTGTCTCTTCGTGTAAAACTCCACTCATCATCCTGTTAAACTAGGTTGAGCACAACTTGGTTATAATTTAACAAAACAGATTCTCTCTCATGTTGTATGTGTTTGGGTTAATATTTAACTTTGGATTTCAAGATAAGAAAGCCCAAAAGAGCTCAATAAAAGAGATTTTACCTGAGGCCCATAGTCAAGCCCAGATACCCATCTCGAGACAATATGACGGTTTCCCATTTAATCCAAAGGCTAGGTGCTTACAAGAGAAGTGACAACCGATGGAAATCCACCTACTCTTGGCCCAAAAGCACTTTCTAAATGGTAGAACATGTAAAAAGATTGATGACTCACTACCCTTTAGTTGCTTTCGAGCAAGAGCAGAAACAGTACAATCAGGTTAATTCGCCTATAAAAGGAGGAAAAGGGCTCAGAGACAAGGACATTCAACCAATCAAACAAACAAACATACAACTTGCCTTTCAGTCAAGCAAATATCCAGAAAGTTATGCTTTGTCCATATTTTGCAACCTTTTAGCCTTAGACTTCCTTTAGAAAGACATCTTTTGTCTATGTAAAAGCTCTGCTACCTTATCTAAATGTTGTGGTATTGATTCTCTTGTGTAAACTCATTTACCACTCATCCCTCTTTTAGTACCCAACCCTTTGTAACTACAACATATAAGAGATCACAAGACGTTTAACCTTGCCTGACAAGTGAAATCTTGCTTGCCTCTCTTCGTTTTGTCTTTCAATTAATAGATCTGGTGTTATAATGTATTCCCCAATATATATTCAAGTCATTTCCAGTCTTTCAATTATCCATAGTTCCATTAGTTCTCAAATCTGGTTCGCTTAGTCGTTTTATTGTCATAAAAAGATTAAAAGTGAATTAAAGTTGATGACTTGATCAGATCTGGACCTCCACCCTTTAAGCATGCAAGATAATGAACTAAAGGTCCTTGATCTCAAGGCATAGAAAATAATTTAATGTAGACTTAATCCATCTACGACAATCATTTGATAAGAAGAAGTCAGAATAACTTGGGGCGTAAGTAATCGACTTAAATACACTTGTTCTACATCTGCCATACAGAGATGGCAATGACACGCCTTAGCACTTAGTTAGTTTTGATTGTAAGCCTCAAGACCTACACCTAAGGCCCCACAAAGGCACCTTTCAGAACTAACTTTGTCTTCCTCTTGCAGTATATCAGCAAGTCGAAGCTCGACAATCAACCAAAGTGCCAACTCCTCAGGGAGCTATGTGCTATATCCAGGGATCCCTCCCCGTGAGTTTCTTACTCGAACATAGTTTTAACATGCCTAGTAGGACCACAAGTCTTGTATGTCAAGAAGACGAAGGAAATAACAAACTTTTAGGAGGAAAACAGAGTAGAAACCACCTAGTATACACCAAGATCTAGCATGGAAAATCTCCCCGAAGACTTGCAAGGGCCTATCTTAATGGAAAGCTCGACTACTTCTAAGAAATCAAGAGGGAGAGTCACAAAAAAAGACTTGCAGGCTACCATGATAGCTGTCTTAAAAAGCATGGAGAAAAACTCTCTAGAAACGAAAGAGGAAATAAGCAAACTATGTACCTTGATAGGAAATATGCAAATAAGGCTAGATCTGGAATATTCCACCCCTGAAATGACCGTGTTAGAGAAATGATGAGAGAAGACAACCATGTGGAGGAGCTAGTTATTCTTTTGTTTCATTTGCTTGAGGAAAAGAGGAATAAAGGAAAGAACAAAGAAGAATCCGGAACCAGTTAGCCAGTGTTGGAAGAAATCCTGGAAGAAGAGTTGCTTGACCCCCTAGTTTCACTAAACAGTAGGGGGTAGAGTGGAAAAGAAAGAACAAAATATGGGATGCCTCAGTTAATCGGGGAAACCAGTGGGAAATGGGAGCCTACCAAAGTAGATAAACATTCTCCTTATAGGCCACCACCAATGGCCATTAAAGGAGGAGAGGTCAAGTGGAGGAAGCCCGAGGCAAAAAAGGAGATTAACTTGGGCAACAATCGTAGCCTGAAGTGTAAACCACTTCATCATACCCCGCCTAATAATACAGCCAACCAACAACTTAGAGATGAGTTGGCTGAGTTAAAAAGGATGATGGTGAGGAATGCCCAGCCACAAGCTCACCCGCTATTTAGAATCGCCTATAAAAAACCTTACCCAGAGTTCATTGATGAGTATAATCTCTTTCCTTTTAACTTCAAGATGCCCGCATTCCCAACATTCAGCGGAGAAGATAACAATGTGTCCTCCAAAGATCACATCTTCAAGTTCTCCAACCATTGTGTGGCATTTGAAGACAATCCCAACTATAAGTTGAGGTTATTTGGGAACTCGTTGGTGGGCTTAACATCTCAATGGTACTCTCTGTTGTCCCCAAATTTCATCGCTAACTGGGGGCAAATGGAGATGGCTTTCCACGAGCAGTTTTACAAGATGAAGCTAGAAATGACCATCAATGATCTAGTCGAGGTAAAACAGTACGAGCATGAATCTACCGAAGACTTCATTATGAGGTTTAGAAGGACAAGGACGAGATGGTCATCAGGCCCGGCCCAGGCCCAGTGCCACAGGGACAACTGTCCAGGGCCCAAAACTAAAGGGGGCACCAACAAAAATAACCCAAATTACTAAGTATTAAAAAAAAAAAAGGTCCAAAGCCCAGATAGGGCTGCCGGCTGGAGGGCAAGAGCCCAAGGTAGGTTTAAAAAGGACCACGTCCAGGGCTTCACAAATATAAAAAAAAAAAAAAAAAAAAGTAATACAAAACAACATTAAAGGACCACTCGGTCCCCAAAAACCCTATATCTATTCCCATATCCCCACTCCCCCTTTCCTAATATTTCCCTCCCTGCTGCCGTCTGACCTTCTGCTCCCCTTCACAGTCGACAGTCCAGTCCAGAACCTGTCCCTCCTCCTCAGTTGCTCCTGCAAGTGCAAGTGCCAAAAGCATTCACTCACCACCAACCATTTTGAGTTTTGAGGTAAATTAATTTTTAAAATTTGACTTATCAATTCATAATTTAATATAAAATTTTGCAAATGATATAGAATTATATGATAATTGATGTATAGAATTGTTGTTGTTGATGAATTGAATTATTTGATTTCATTTCAAACCAAATTTTTAGGTTTAATTTTTATAATATATTAGACTATATGTTTGTATTTTTATAATATATAATATGTGTTAGAATGATAATTTTGATAGGAAATTTTTGTTATATCATGTGTAGGTAATTTTTGCAAACAAATTATCGAAGCCATGTCTTTTAGGAAACAACTCTCTGGTAATATGAAAAGGAAAAAAAAGGCAAAGGATAACGAAATTGCCGAAAGTTTAAGAGGATCTCTTCATAAATTTTTCTCTACAAAAAATGAGTCAGTTGAAAATTTGAGAGAAAATAATGTTGGTGAAGAGTCACAAAATGTTGTTGGGGAGTCTCATGATCATGAAAATAATAGTGATTTAGAAGAAAATGTTGGTGATGAGTCTCAAGACCATGAAAATGGTGGTGGTGGTGATGTGAATTTAAATGTTGATGGTGATCATATTGGTGTAGAGGAAAATATTGAATCTCCTGCACCTATTTTCCATTTAAACATTTATGATCCAAGAGTTTGGGATGGTCTTAATGTAGAAATGAGAGACTTACTTGTAGAAAAGGGACCAATTCGAGAAACTAATATCATTTATCCTAAGGACAAACTCTGTAGAAAATTTTCCTCACACTACTATGATCGAAAATTACCAACGGGTGAAATTTATGATAGGAAATGGCTTGTGTACTCAAAAGAGTTGGATAAAGTCTTTTGCTTTTGTTGTAAATTGTTTAAAACAATTGCCTCAAAAAGTGAGTTAGCAAAAGATGGAATTAGTGATTGGAGACATCTT